TACACACATCAAATCTCTCAGGTAAGGAAAGTTATCCCAGCCAAATTCAGCTCTGTAGCAGGATACAAAAATACACAAAAATCAATAGCATTCCTACACCAAAAATAAACTCACTGAGAATGAAATTAGTAAAACAATACAATTTACAATAGCATAAAAACTTAAATACTTATGTATTAACCTCAGCAAGGAAGTGAAAGATCTCTACAATAAAAATTAGGACACTCTGGAAAAGGATATTGAGGAGGACATCAGAAAATAGAAAGATATCCCCTATATCTGGATAGGCAAAACCAACATCATCAAAATGGCTATATTTTCAAAACTGATAACAGATTTAAGGCAACCCCAATCAAAATATCAGTGGCGCTGGGTGTGGTGGTTCATGCCTGTAATCCCAGCACTTGGGAGGCTGAGGCAGGAGGATTGTTGTGAGTTCGAGACAAGCCTGGGCTACAAAGTGAGCTCAAGGCCAGCTGGAACCGCATAGCGACACCCTGTCTGAAAAAGACGAAAACAAAGACATAAACAAGCAAACAAAAAACCCAAAATACCTGTGGCATTTATCACAGATCTAGATAAAACAATTCTAAAATTTACATAGAACCAGAAGAGACTAGAACTGGAATAGCAAAAGCAACCCTTAGTAACAGAACAAAGCCGGTGGCATCACAGTCCCAGACCTTGAAGTTATAGTAAAAACTACCGTGATTAAGAACAGCATGTACTGGCACAAAACCAGGCAGGTGGATCACTGGAACACAACAGAAGGAGAAACAACTGAATGCATGCACAGCTACTGGATCCTTGAGGAAAGGGCTAGAAGCACCCACTGGAGGAAGATTGCCTCTTTCATAAATGGTGCTGGGAAAGCTGGCTACCCACACGCAGAAGACTGAGTCTAGACCCACATCTCTCACCATGTACTAACCTAAAATCAAAATGGATCAAAGATCTAAATGGCAAAACGGAAACAATCTGCTAGAGGATAAAATAGGTACAACTCTTGAAGACATGGCATAGGCAGGTAATTTCTGAAGAGAACGGCAGTGGCACAAGAAATAATACCAAGAATCAACGAATGGGTCACATCAAATTAAAAACCTTCTACACAGCAAAAGAAACGACCAACAGAGGGAAGAGACAATCTACAGAAGGGGGAAAAATTGTCACCTATTCCTCAGACAGAGGACTAAAGTCAAGAATATATGAAGGACTTAGAAAAATTAGACTCCCCCAAATAAAAGGCCCAGGCAGGAAATGGGCAACCAAAATGAATAGACACGTCTCAGAAGTACAAACGGCCAATAAGCACATGAAAAACGCTCAAAATCGCTGCCTATCAGGAAAAGGCGAATTAAAACTACAGTACAGTGAGATGCTATCTTACCCCAGAAAGAATGGCTACCATCAAAAAACCTAATAATAACAAACGCAAATGTGGATGTGGGGAAAAAGTAACCCTTCTGCACTGTTGGTGGGAACGTAAACTAGAACAACTGCTATGGAAGTCAGTGTGGAGATTCCTCAAAAAACTAAAAATAGAAATTCACTTTGACCTAGCTACCCCCCTTTTAAGTATCTTCCCCAAAGACTTCAAGTCATTATATTACAGGGATACACGCATATCCATGTTTATAGCAGCACAATTTATAATAGTTAGATCTTGGAAATAGTGTACAGTATATGTCTATCAACAGATGAATGGATATAGAAAATGTATTTATACACAATGGAGTACTACTGTGCCATAAAGAAAGATGAACTCGAGGCATTTGTAAATAGATGCAACTGGTGAACATAATATTAAATGAAATATGTCAGGTACACAAGCTCAAATATCAGAGAGAGGGAGCAGGGAGGGGGAGAAGGAAAGGGGAGGGAAGAAAGGGAGCAGGAGGAGAGGAAGAGGGAGAGAGAGAGAGAGGAGAGAGTGAGAATGAATAAATAGGAAGTAGGGAGAAGTTCGGATAATTCTCTAAATTACCCAGTCCACTGTTTCAAAACTATTTTAATATGTATGCTACTTTATTTCATTTATGCTATTAGTTTATCTTAGTTGATTACCAAGTTTTATGCTATTTGTTTCTCTTTTGTAAGAGAATCTTTTGTACTCTGAATAACTACTTTGAAGATAATGATAGACACTATATTATTATTTTGTGATGAAATTTTGTTTTCACATAAAAAATTTAAATGTATCCCAAGGAGGACCTATTAATGTATCCTAAGGAGGACCTATTAGAATAGGTCCTTATCTGTGACAAGTGCATGTGGATGAGGTATCTCTAGTGTATCTCCTGGGATATGACCTTGCCTGGTCCATGGGCTTCCCAGGGCAGAGAATCCATGACAATCATTCTGTCCAAAGATGTGACAGAAGCTCAGAGAAAGCCTTGCTGGACTCCAGGTGCCTTCAGTGAAAACTAATCAGTGTCCTAGGCCATCACGCTTTGGGTGGCATTCCCTCAACTCCTGTCGTCCAAAGGCCTCCGGAGCTAGCTCCTTGTATGATGGCCCCTGTTCAGTTCTGCTCCCCAGACAATGGGTGTAAAAGTCCAGCACGGTAAAGGCACACAGGGAGTCCCAAGCCAGAGGAGAGCCCCAAGCATGTTCCCTTTTTAGACCTTCCAATGGAAAAACCCATTGGCTCAAAAAGCAAAAAATAAAGAGGGCTGGAGAAACAAGCCCAGTCCACCTTCCTATCAGGGGAAAGCAAATTTTATGAATTGCTGTATGTGATTAAATTGCACTTGGGAATCACAGATCACGTGAAGTGTAAATCTACTCTTTGCATCTCCCCGGCAAGCCAGTCAGTAGAAATATTGTCTCCGTTCTCACAATCCCAGTTTGATTACGGTGTGGAGTCATTTTCTGCAGATGCTGACACTGGGACCTCACCACAAACACTGAGGAAGGAGTTGGAATGAGCCAGGCAGATCTCCAAAAAGCAAAGCTCCTACTTTTCTGAATGGCTAAACGTCCATGTTAAAACATTCTACTTCACCTTAGACATTTCATGGCTTCTCCCACCCATGTTCTGTTAGCTTCTAGCGCTGTAAAACTCCCAAATCTCAGCAGTTACAATGGTTTCCTCCTCATTCATGTTTCAGGTGATAGTTCTACTCATGCTGTTATTCAGAGAGGCAAATGTCACTTCTGCCCTGTTCTGATGACCGAGCGACTCAACCAAGGTTGAGCTCAACAGGTGCCTGGACAGCCTTCCTTCTGGAAGGGACGCCTGGCATGGGCCCATAGACGACTATTTTAAATACTATATACTCTACCATATCCTTGTTTTCTTTCAGGGATTAAGACTTTATTTTCCAATATTCTTAGGGGATTACTTTTTGGTTTATTTTGTTTAAAACAGCTCAGTTTAATGTCTACGCTGCTATACGAGTTGCAAGATTTTTTTCTTTTTTGAGACAGGATCTCGGTGTGTAGTCCAGGATGGCCCCGAGCTCCTGGCAATCCTCAGCCTCCCGAGTGCTGGGATTACAAGTGTGCAACTGTGCAAGTTGTTATTTATTTATTTATTTATTGCTTTTTGAGCCAGTGAGTATTTCCCCTGGGAGGTCTAAATGACTTTCTTGTCTATTACCCCTAAGAAAAAGTGTACATTTTCTAGATAAGTGTAAGTAAACGTAATGAGGCAAAAGTCCTATGTTAGCAGAGTGCTGGAGGTTGGGAAAGTATTTTGAAGTCTTACTATATGTAAGTTCAGTTGCAAAGATGGAGAGTGGGGAAGCAAGGTGAGGACATAGGGATACTCCCTATCTCGGGCTCAGGGGTGAGGTGCCTGGGGCCCAAGGAGTTTAACAGCTACTCAAGGTTCAAAGTTTCAGAGGCAGAACTTAAATTTTCAAGGTTTCTCTGATCCCAAAGCTCATCGTTTTTCTTGTGCCTAATACTGGCTCCCCAAAGAGAAAATAAAAAGAAAAGGATACTTTTTAAAATTAATATTACTAATTATGTACAGTAATGGAATACTGTGACATTTCAAGACATTGCTGGTACTGATAACATCAAGGCAATGAACATTTCCCTGTTCCGTGTAGCGTTTTACAAAGGATAAGAAAAAGGGCCAGGCGTGGTGGTGCACACCTGTTATCTCAGCACTCGGGAGGCTGAGGCAAGAGGATCACTGTGAGCTCGAGGCCAGCCTAGGGTACAAAGTGAGTTCAGGGCCAGCTTGAACTGCAGAGTGAGACCCTGTCTCGAAAAAGAAAGGAACAGGAAAGCTGACAGGCACAGAGCTATAGCAGAGACAGACGGCACTAAGAGAAAGGGCAGACAAGACCGAAACAGAAACAAGAAAGGGAAAGGCCCCGCGCTATGACAGAGGAGAAGGTTTCTGGAGAGGCCGGGGGCGCCCCCTGCCGGCCGGGAGAGCCGAGGCCGGCGAGCGCGGCGCCCCCGAAGCTCAGGCGCAGGCTCCGATGAGGGCGGCGCGGTCCGGCTCCGGAACCACCGGGCGGGGCGGGCAGGACGCGGGCGCCGGGGTGGGCGTCCGGCGGGAAGGGGCACCTCCCGGAGGAGCAGGCGGGCGCCCCTGGGTGGCCTCCTGCTCTCTCGCCTTTAGAACTAGAAAGCAACCCCCACCCCCCGAGACAAACAGG